CCCCCTCTCCCCAAGACAGGACTGGAGCAGCTCCCCTGGTGAGGGGAGGGGAGAGACTATTCCTGGGACCAGAACTCATCACCCCAGGGTGCTTGAAGTGGAACTCCAGCAGTCCACCTTCCCAGGAGAGATTGGCTGATCTCTTACCTAAAGCTCCCCACTTATCTCCACACAGGTAGCTCACCTTGCAAATTCATTGTCTGTTCTGCCTCTCTGTACTGGCTCCATGTCTTTGTGTGGTCAATCCCAACCTCATTCTTCCTGCTGTCCTTGAAGCAACTTTGCTTCTGCCTCTTTCATCCTTCTATCCTCCTCTCCCATTATCATGATCATCAATTATTTGTTAAATAAGCTAATGTTCTTGTTGTAAGCATGTGTGTGGCTTTTGGAAATAGGGTGCATGTATGGGAGGAGGGTGATTTTAGATGGACTGAACCTGAACTTCTCTCAGTTTCTTCACTCCTAATTTTCATCTTTGGGAGCAGACACATCCAGTATTCAGGGCTGAGTTGAAAATCTACTTCTTCACATTGGCTTAATGTAACTCCTTAAGGTTCTTACCCAATTATCCCGTTGCTTTTCATGGCAGCCATTCAGAAGAGTGGCAAAGGGGACCAAAAGACAAAAAGCACCAGAACTAAGAACCTCAAATCCTGAGGGCTAGCAGGATTTTGCTATTTGCTTTTTGCTATTTGCTTTACTTCTAGACCCTAGGCATGCTGCATCTCTTGCTCAATATGAAAAAGTTTGACTCTTCTTTCTCACTTCTTGGGAGAATAAGTGGTTGGTGAAACACATATTTTAGACTCCTTGAAAAGTAAAATGGAAGCTAATCTAACACTTACTTTTACAATTTGGTATTGTATTCTACACTGTTTTGTCCACCTTCATTTCCCATTTGTTAGTCTTCTTTGCCCCAGCTTGATTGGCAGCTCCTAGAGAGAGCAGGTGATTAAGGGGCACATTGGACAGAGCAGTGGCTTTGTCAGCAGGGGACTGAGGAACAAATTTCATGTCTGCTACTTCCCATATGTGTGATGATGGGAAAAAATCCCAACTTCTCTGGATCATAGCTTCCTCATCAGTACATCGAGGAGGCTGGACTAGCTAGCTTTGGAGGTCCCTTCTGGGTCTAAATTCGTGATGTGATGACTTTATCTTATTCTTCTGAATGTCTTCCCAGCCTGCCTCCATTTTCCAACATAATTCTGGGGCACTTACAGGATGCTCAATGCATACTTGACTTCAAGGTGGAACCATGAAGAAAAAGTGTGTAAGCGGTTTCCTGGTACTCCTACTTCTGTTTTGTTTCCTCTTTTCCACTGACCAGACAAGTAGCCAAAGGCAGGCTTTAGCTACTTGAGAGACTCTCCTGACATACCCACCATAAGTCAGCAGAAGGCCCTTGCTTTTCTACTATTATTGTCTAACAACCCCAGGGGAAGGGTGTGGGGGGTCAGTGCCTACAGCAGAGCATCCCTGTACCCCATTTCATGTCTACAGACAGGTCAGAAATTCTGGCAGACCAGAAAGCTAGCCATAGAGATGTCTTTTAGAAATAGTCAGAGTTGGAGGCAGCTTGGTGGTGCAGTGGATAGAGCACTGACCCTGAAGTCAGGAGGACCTGAGTTCAAATCCAGCCTCAGACCAAACACTTGACTCTTACTAGCTGTGTGACCCTGGGCAAGTCGTTTAACCCCAATTGCCTAAAAAAATGAAAAGAAATAGAGTTTTCCCCACCTAGATCCTTCCTTTCTAATTTTTTAAAAATTACATCAATAGCATAGAGAAACTCTCTACCAAGGCAAATGGACTGACATGCATTCTGCAACTTATAGTCATAGGGAATTGGCTAGGGGACATTGGTAGGGCATGAGTTACCCAGAGTCACATTGCTAGTATGTTTCAGACGCAGGGCTTGAATCCATGTCTTCCTCACTCTGAGATCAGCTTTGTATCGAAGATACCATACAGACTCCTTTCTGATAGAGGCTCTCAGACCAAACCTGAGCTGCTGAGGCCTTCAGAAGACAGCCAGAGGAAAGGCTAGTTCCTCCCTCTTTCCATCACAGGTTCTACTAGAATATTTCAGAGAATATACTATGGAAGAGGGAGAAGGTAGCCTTTCCTGAATGACTTTGCAAGAAAACAGGGAGAAGTGGGGCATCCTAATGGTACTGGGACTGAGGACCAATTCCCTTGAGGTACTTGAAGGCAACTAATAGAATACTAAGCTAGAGAATCACAGTAACTCCGGGGAGTTGTCTTCAGGGTATATACAGAGACATGAACCACTAGAGATGTGGCCAAATTATTTTGGAACTTCAACTGGATCGTCAGCCCAAGAGCTGACCTGGGTGTCTGGGTTAGGCAGGATGCTGCCTGGGAGTGCCAGGTCCTAAGCCCAAGCCTAAGACGATTAGCACCTTGTCCTGATCAACTAGATCATAGAGTGAGTGAAAGGGAGTAAAATGAAAAATGACCAGAAAGGTAGGAAGGATCCATGTTGTGAAGTCCCAAATAGAAGATTTTCTATTTGATTATGAAGTAATAAAAAGCCATGGGAATTTATTATTTTACAAGCATTTTACTATCTCTCCCACTGCTTCCCTCCCCAACTAAATAGTTTTTTGTTTGTTTGTTTGTTTGTTTTGGTTAGGCAATAGGGTTAAGTGACTTGCCCAGAGTCACACAGCTAGTGTTATGTATTTGAGGCCACATTTGAACTCAGGTCCTCCTGAATCCAGGGCCAGTGCTCTATCTACTGTGCCACCTAGCTGCCCCCCCCCCAACCAAACAGTTTTTTAAAAGAAAAAAGATATGTATAGTCCAAAAAGCAAGATTCCCACATTGGCCACATCTGAAAATGTAAGTTTCATTCTGTATCTTGAATCCCTCACCTCTCTAGATGGAGATATTGGTATGAGTCATCTTTAGTCCTTTGGGCTCATGGTTTTATCATTGCAATTGGTCAGAGTTCTGAAGTCTTTCAAGGTTACTTTTCTTTAGAATTTCGTTGTCATCATATACTGTTCTCCTAGTTCTGCCCACTTCACTCTGCAGTGTCTTCCCAGGTCTTCCCAGTTTCTTCTGAAACTGTCCATTTTGTCATTTCTTATGACACAATAATATTCTGTTACATTAATTTACCATAGTTTGTTTAGCCAATTACCCTAATAGGTGGGCACTTCCTTAGTTTCCAATTTAGGGGAGCTATGGTCCCCACTGCATCCTGGGCTACCTCCAGTTGTCTTGCTCTGTATCTGGCCACTGTATCTGGCTCTGGAAGAGAAAGTGAAGCTGGGCAACTTTGCACAGTGATCCCTCACTTAAATCCAATTCACTTGCATGTCATGGCATCACCTCCCTGATATAATGGTCCTCTTCAAGAATGAGGGACAAACAGCATTCTCTGTGAGTAGAAAAGGAGCTGCCCACTGGGGACCAAACTGGAACTGGCCAGTCGGGCAACATGGCTTGCCTTCTTCTTTCTTTCCTTCTTCCCTCCCCCCCACCATTCTTCCTTTCATCCATTCTTCCTTTTTTCCTTCTTTTCTTTTCTTTCTTTTCCTCCCTTCCCTCTGTCCACATAAGGTATCACACCCTTACCTGCAGGAGCTCTGCCCAAAGGGAATATAAATTTTAATCTTTGAAACCTTTTTGTTTGTTTTTTCTCTTAAAGACCAGCCTTAACCTTAAATCACTCTTAAAGACCAGCCTTAACCTTAAACCATTGATTGGCCAACAATAAGTCCCCGGCCAAGCCCTATCATTATTTGGGCCCTGATTGGCTCAGAATAAATGTAAATAGCAATTGTTTCTATTTTGTCCAGAAACCCTGAGGGTCTTCCCCTCCCAGATAGATTTTTTTTGACTAGGTAAAGAGGCCATTCTCTGCTTCTTTTCTTCTTATTGTTGTTGTTGTTATTATTGTTATTATTATTATTTGGTGGGGAGGGCAAGTATATATCTATAAGAAATATTTCTTATTATTATTATTGTTATTCTTAGTATCAGCCTTAATCACTGAATGGGTGCTGCCTCAGTCAACCTGAAACCTATTAAAGATCTTAACTTGAAAAGGCCAAAATCCCCCATTGCATCCTGGACCATCTCCAACTGTCCTGATTTATATTTGGCCACTGGACCAAGATGGCTCTGGAAGAGAAAGTGAGGCTGGTGGCTTTGCACAGCCCTCCCTCACTTAAATCTAATTCACTTACAAGTCATGGCATCACCTCCCTGATGTCATGGTCGTCTTCAAGAACAAAAGACAAATAGCAACAACAGGGCTACTATAAAAAGACCTGTTACAAATATTTTTGCATATATAAATCATCTTTCTCTTTCTTCGATCTCTTTGGGGTATCACTATAAAGTTAGTAATCACTGGAATTTATTGAGTATATTAGTGTGTATGGGAGAAGAGGGATAACAGTCAGAAGTTTGCTTTAAGAAAATCACTTTGGCAACCGAGTGGAGTATGGATTGTAATGGAGAGAGAAGTAACGCAGGAAGAGCAGTTAGTTAGAAGGCTATTGAGGTAGTTCAGGCAAGAGGTGATGAGGGCCTAAACTAAGGGGGTGGCTGTGTAAGTGGAGAGAAAGGAATGTATAAGAGATATTACATAAAGGAACACAAGATTGGGCACATATTGGATATGTGGGGTGAATTAGATTGAAGAGTTGAGGGTGATAAAGGTTGCAGGCCTGGATAATTGAGAAGATGGTGGTATCATAGATAGTCATTAGGGAGTTCAGAAGAGGGGAGGTTTAGGAGGAAAAGTAAATGAGGGTAATAACAACTATCTCACAAGGTTGTTGTGATGATTAGATGATGTAATATTTGTCAAGTGCTTAAAATACTATATAAATGTCGGCCTGTCTTTCAGTTAGTAGAGTAACATGCTATTATTACTCTGAGACACAAGTTACTACCATTTCTAGACTGACTTATATCTACAATTTTCTGTATCACTACAGGTCCAATCCTAAAGCGGGAGATAGCCCAGTCTTGCCTCCCCACATTCCTGATTCTCACATCTCTTTTCCTCTAGTCAAGGCAAGTCATCCCAGGTCATGCAGCAAAACGGTAAGAGAAACCCTGAAAAAGCTATGGTGGGGTAGGGTGGGTGGTATCTGATCCATTTAGGACTTTACCTCTCCCAACTCTGACTCATCTATCCTTTACTGCTGTGCTGAGGAGCAACACTCTCCCTTAATATAACATCACTACATCACCACCCCTAGAACTGAAAGAAAAGTATGACTGTGGGAAAATTGGCCCCTCAGCTATGCCCCAGGGAGAAGGAAGTGGTACCTCTGAGAGGCCCTGAAGAGTAGAGTGGAAACCTGGCCCCTAGGGGTGAGCCCCACCCATCTCAGAGTAGTCATGCTGGTTGATCCTGAGGTATGCTGTCCTAGGGGGCATCCTACTGCAGGGGGACAGAGGGAGAGCTTCTACTGTGTATGATATCTCCTCCTTCTTCCCAGGGATCAGTAGTGTGAATCAGCTAGGGGGGATCTTTGTGAATGGACGACCTCTGCCCCCGGGTACCCGGCAGCAGATTGTGAAGCTGGCAGTCAGTGGAGTTCGGCCCTGTGACATCTCCAGAAGCCTCAAGGTAACAGCTGGGGGTGGGGAGGGCAAAGTAAGTACCAACCTGGTGTTGGGTTCTGTTGGGCAAGAAGCTGAATGGGAAACTGGCTCTAGTTTCTATAAAGCATTCTCAGAGGATACTCCTTAAGGTTGGGAAGTGAGTATCTAGAGCCCAAAGGCAAGACTGTCCTCTGGAGCATTCTCTTGTTGTTGATCCTTGGAGTCTTATTTTGCCAGAGAGGCTTCCTCTGAAAAGAGGCAATTCCTTCCCCTGGGTTGTGTACCTCTCCATCCTCCCATCCTACCCAGGTATCTAATGGCTGTGTGAGCAAGATTCTGGGGAGATACTACCGCACAGGTACCCTGGAGCCCAAGGGCACTGGGGGAAGCAAGCCTCGCCTAGCTACACCCCCTGTGGTAGCTCGTATTGCCCAACTCAAGGGTGAGTGTCCAGCTATCTTTGCCTGGGAGATCCGTCACCAGTTATATGCTGAAGGGCTCTGCACCAAAGACAGGACACCTAGCGTGAGTATTTGTCCCTACCCAGTGAGAAAGGCTGAGCAGAAGCTCATTTCTGGAAGACAGTGTGGGGTACCACCATTAGGATGCCATGGAGGGAAATGAGCCAGGTTCCCTGAGTTCTACTGGGACCTAGAATTTAATCACCTGAAAAATGGGGGCAAGGCAGAAGTGAGAAGAGGAAAAGAAAGTTTCAAGAGAGAAAGGAGAAAGAACACTGCTCCTATTTAGTAAACATGAAAGGGACTGCTAACAAGGGAAGGGGTGGGGGAATGCAGAGGGCTATGGAGACAAAAGAAAAGTCTCAACCTTAGAGTGAATTCTAGCTTTAGCCACCAAGTATAGTACCTGAGCTAGTCTTATACATCCCTCTTGCCCAGGTCTCCTCCATCAACCGCATTCTGAGGGCCTTACAAGAGGACAAGAGGCTTCCTTGGGCCCAACTCACACTGCCAGGTGGGAAATGGAGCAATGCATAGGGGTGTCAGGGAAAAAGGGAAACAGGTAGGAGAAAAGGGCTCTTCCGCCCTTCTGGACTCTTAAGAGCCTCCACCCAGAAACACATTTCAGTATCCATCATCTGGAATTTGGGCCAGTCCCATAATCCTTACTTGCAAAGAGTCACTATTGATTGCTGATTGGACACACTTCTGTCCTTCCTCTGTCCATGAATCTGTATGTGCAGAATCCATTTGTGCTGGATGTGCACTAGTTCAGTTCTTTTTAGCTCTTGTCACTGCCCCAGTTTTGAGATGCTAGAGATCCTATTGCCAAGTAGTAACAATCAGCCACTCCCCTCTCTCTGCAGGTTTCCCTGCTCTAGGTCTCTACTTTCCCCACAGTGGTTCTGAGGCACCCCAGGTGGCCAAGCCAGGCACACGCCAGCGAAATCGAACCATCTTCTCCCCATATCAGGCTGCTGCCCTGGAAAAAGGTGCTGGATCTAGGAAGGGGAGGGGAGGGTGCCGAGTAGTCTCCTAGAAGAAGAAAACTTCTCCCTCTCCACTCCTCCTACCAGTCCCCCACTCACCAATCACAACAGCACTTCAGCCTGACAGGCACACAATATTCTTTGGACAATGAGGGTGGGAATAGAGATGGGAACAAATCAGTGGTGAGAGTTAGGCATTCCGGGCACTGATCAAGAAAAGAAGTTAGAGGGTGGACCTACTTTGGGGAGCAAGAAAGTTGGAGGATACATCTACTTTAGACATGGAATTAAGGACAGCAGCTATTATCCTCCTGTGCTGTGTCTCTCATGCCCTCACTCTGTGAGTCTCCTGGCAGAGTTCCAGAGGGCACAGTATCCTGATCCAGCTACCTGGGGAAAGCTAGCTGCTGCCACCTCTCTGCCTGAGGCTACAGTGAAGGTGAGATGCTAATAAATGGCAGAGTGAGTGCTGATAGAAGCTCTCATCCTGAGTAGAGAAAGAGATGGGGAGAGGAGCCAGAGTGGGAACACTAGTGAGAGTATATGGGAAGAGACCATGGAGTTGGCAACAGCTTTCTGATCTCATTCTAATCTCAGGTTTGGTTTTCTAACCGAAGAGCCAAATGGAGAAGGGAAGAGAAATTGAAGTGGGAAACTCAATTCCCAGGTGGTTGCCTCTTGATCCTCAACCCTCAGGCATACTAAGTCCCCAACTCATCAATCTTCCTGCCACTCAATCCACTCATGCCCCTTTTCCCAGCTTTCTCACCACATCCTCCCCTCCCCCATTGGTCAAGGAGAATCGATCTCTACCCTTACTTTACTCACCCTGCTCTTCCCAGCTCCATGTTCTGAGCAAATCTGGCCCAATCTTAGAGCTGCTTCCCAGGGTCTGACCTCACAAGATACTTCAAAATGGACCACTTCTGCACAGGTACCAAAAAATAGATAAGGGTTGTGGGGCTGGTCCAGGGGATCTCTCAGTCCATCCTCTAGTTTGTTTTAGGGAGGCCAAAAGGCTAAGCCTTCCTGGTGTAGGAATGATCCTGATTTCTCCCCAGGAGCACTGATATGGAGGCACAGGAAGGTAGGCCAAGTTTCCTCTCCCTCTTCTTCTTTTCTTCCCTGGCAGCCCCCAACCAGTCTTCCTATGCCTCCTCTTCTTGCCCCTGAGCCCTCAGAACCACATCACTATCAACTGTGCTTGGGAACAGCATTAGGAAGGCATATGAGCAATGCCTTACCCAGTGTCTGGCAAAAATCTTGTGGTGGTAAGAACCCAGAGCTACCTTCACCTCTTTCCTCCTTCATTTTCAAGTCATGCGGTGGGAGGGGCTGACTTTCCTTGATCAGTTGGCAGATAAGAATCACAAACTGGGGTCAAAAATGGAAGCTGAGTCCAGCTTCACATCGCTTCCTCCCTTGACAAAGCACGAAGCTGGGGAAGGATCAGCATTTTCATGATGCCCCTTCTGTAATCCCTCTAATTTCAGCAGCAGTAGCCCAGGATATTGGGAATAGGGTATGGTAGACAAAACGTCCCTTGGTTTTGAATTCTGGAATGAAGTGTCTCATCTCTTCTTTCTCTATGAGGACTTACCCTGCTCTCTTTGTCACTACAGGACAAATATCCATTGGAACCTCATATTCTGGATATAGCACACCTTTGTCACCAATGCCCTTCCCTGCCTTGGATACTCGGCCCTTCTTTCTACCATCCCTACCCCATGTCTTCATGCCTTTCATTCCCTCTTCTGCCATTGCTAGCTCCCTCCCACTCTAAGAATTGGAGTGGAATAGAAAGTATTATGGTATAGGGGAAAGAGTACCATGTTGGAAGTCAAGAGATCTGGATTCTAAACTTAACTCTGCCATTCACTAATTGCATTTCCTTGGCTATTAATAGCCAAGGGGGAAAAACACACTCAAAATCATTAATCAACAGAGAAATGAAAATTAAAACAACTTTGTTGTTTTACTTGTCAGATTGGCAAAGTTTTCAAAAAAGAAAAATAACAAATGCTGGAGGGATTGTGGGAAAACAGGGACATCAACGCACTGTTGGTGGAGCTGAGAACTGGTCCAGCCATTTTGGAAAGCAATTTAGAACTATGCCCAAAAAGCTATTAAATTATGTATATCCTTTGACCCAGTGATACCACTATGAAGTCTATACCTCAAAGCTATCAAAGGAAGAGAAAAAGGAACAATATGTCCAAAAATGTTTATAGCAGCTTCTTTTCATGGTGGCAAAGAATTGGAAATGGGTAGAGTGTCCATCATCTGAAACACCAATTGGAATGGTAAACAAATTATGAATGTGATGGAATACTATTGTGCTATAAGAAATGAAGAAGTTTCAGAGGACTCAAGATGAAACATGCTACCCACCTCCAGATAGAGAGGTGATGGACTCAGAGTACAAATTAAATCATATTTTCTCTTTTCTTTCCTTTTCCTTTATTTCTTTCCTTTCTACTTTCCTTCTTTCTTTTTTTTTCTTTCTTTCTTCCTTTTTTTGGACATGGCTAATGCAAACATTGGTTTACTTTACTACATGTGTTTATAATAGGTTTTGCTTTTCTTGCTTTCTCAGTGGGTAGAGTAGGGGAGGTAGTAGGGAGAGAATTAGGAACTGAAAATAAAATAAAACTGAATTTTTTAAAAATTTTGTTACCTTGCACGAGTCACTTCTCTGGTCCTCAGATTCCTCATCAGTAAAATGATCATGTTCTTGGGGATCTAGGTGAAAGAGTAAGTTAATAATAAAGAATACCTTCCCTCTCCAAATATTTGTTTGTTTCTCTTCCTCCAAGCTCTATAGGTCTGTTACTCAAATAGCCTCTGCTTGTCCTACAGTTTAAGCTCTCTCCTCAATGTCCAAGAACTTCTTTTGTATGAACCTTAATTCATCATACAATTGCAGACTAGGGAAGGTTCAGCTACTTTTCAAAGGTGGAGCTGGTGAGATTCCTGTTTACAGGTCTTCCTCCCATCTCTAATAACAATTTTTTATTTTTCATAGGAAGATGGTGAAAAACTTGTTACCACTTTCATTTTTCTGGAATGAGAGCATGATAAGGATGGAGTGTGTTTGTATAGGGGTGTGTGTGTGTGTGTGTGTGTGTGTGTGTGTGTGTGTGTGTTATGTGTGCTCATATATATGCTGGCCAGTCCTGGGCATGACAGGGGCATTTAGGAAATAACATTTCTCCAACCTTGACCCTCACTGAAAAAGAGAATAACCCTTGGGTTTGGGTACAACCTTGGATTCTCTTCCCTTCTCTGATTTTAAAATTCCATTCTATTACATCCAATTCAATTCAATACATTTTTGTTAAAAGACTTCTCAATTTGAGTCACTGTGCCAAGAACAGAGGATACCAGGATGAAGAAGCAACAGTCCTTGCTCCGGTCTGACAGGGTGAAGAGAAGGATCCACTATTCCTTCTGAGAAATGGCTTTAGGTTCTTACTGGAAGGTCGAAATTTTCTCTACTCAATCACAGAGAATCATTTATGCTCTCATCTGAAATATACTTCCCATCACTGGGGAAAGAAGAAAATGGAGAAGGAAGAGAAGGGAAAAAACATGGTTTTTCAGGTTAGATAAATACAATTCTTCCCTCTCTAGAGTTTCCTTGGAAACTTTTCTTTTCAGCTGAATTCCATCTTCTGGACTTTAAGCATTGATCCAGAAGGGCAATTCATCATTTTGCTTTTAGGGTGAAACGGTCATACACCCACACCCCAGGAACAGGGAGAGAGTAATCTGTTACATACCGAAAATAATCATCCTTTTTTTCCCTCATCCATGACTTTAGTTGGGGTCCCAGGGGTGTTGCTGGGACTGACTCAAACTAGCTTGGAAGAATGATTGTTAATTTCTTGGTATCTGCAAATGCTGCAAATTAGGGCTTGGTTTATTGTGTTTTTGAGGGTGTCTAGACTTAAGAAAGTGATAGAGAAAGTGTTACTCATGCAGATTAAGCTTATAAATATGTCATGGGTACATTTTTTTTTGAGAGCTAGTTGTTAAATATTTATCAGTATGCCCCTGAGTCTTTGACACCACTGTCAGACTATAGAACAGTCTAGGGTGGTGGAGCCATAACCCCTACTTTAGTGTAAAATCACCAGAAAAGTTCAAGGACTAGAAGAGTAATTCACTTCATCCTTTGGATCCATTCATTCATTCAATAAATATTTATTAAGTGCCTACTATGTGATGGGCACTGTGCTAAGAATAAGAGATATAAATAAGAAAGACAGTCCCTGCTCTCAAGAAACTTACAATGTAATGGGGGAAGGCAGTGCACAAAATGAAGTTGAGAATGGGGGAGGGGTGTCACCAAAGGGTACCTATGAGAAGAGGGCATGATACCCTTGGAAATTGTAGAGGAAATGTTGGGTATCAAAGCTGAATCAATCTCCATGATGACATTTCAGGTGATGAGTTTATCTTGGGAGAAAGTATGATTTTCTTGGAGTCAAAACCAAGTAGCCAGGACAGCACTTAACTATAGACATCTAGCTTGTTCTTAAGGCTTTCCAAGAAGAAGAAAACAATCAATTGAGAAAAGGAGCCACTCAATTACTATTTTGCTTCTATCTTTTCTCTGTCATGAAGAATATTTTACTAGTAGGAAGATTTACTAGAAAAACAAATATGATTGTGAAAAAAATTGAAGCCCCAAAGAGATAAAAAAAAATAGTTAAGAGAATACCTCCCTGATATGAGATTAACTTTCCTGTCCTAAAAGACTTACACTCCAGGGTACTAAAATAGCTTGCAAATGTGATCACTGAACTATTAGTGATCTTTGACCAGTTGTGGATAATTGAAGAGGAACTGGAAGATGGAAGAAGGACATATATTGTATTAATTTTTTTAAAGGGGAAGATAATGTATTATAAAATACAAATCTATGAACTTGATATCAATTTTTGGCAAAATTTTAAGTGGGGCATTGAAGAAATGTGAGTACTGAGCAGAAGGAAGTCAAATTAGGTTTTGCAAAAACAATTATATCAGATTAACCTAATTTCCTTTTTCAATTGTGGCTACTAGACTGATAGGTCAGGACAATGCTATAGAAATATACTTGGGCAAATACTGTAGACAAATACTTGGATTACAGCTAGAAATTAGACAAATAATAATTTTCATGTGGACAGAATAGAGAGATGTAGAACAGATAATGGTTAATATGTTAGGGGGATTCATAAGTAGTTGAGGTCATATTTCAAAAGCAATGACATAGGGCAGTGGTTCTCAGAATATGGTCCTGTAGAGATCCTCAAAACCATTTTTTAAAAAATTTTATTAATTTATTTTGATTTATCAACAATCACTTCCATATGCTTTTGAGTTGAAAATTTTTCTCCCCCTTCCTCCCCCCTACCCTCCCCAAGATGGCACACAATCTGATATAGGCTTTACATTTACATTCCCATTAAACTATATCACATTAGTGAAGTTGTAAGTAAAAATTAAAACCAATAGGAGGAACCATCAGAAAGATGAAACAAAACTCAACAGAAGGTAAAAATAAGTGATAGTGATTTGACTTCCATAGTTCTTTCTTTGGAAGTGGACAGCATTTTCCATCCCGAGACCTCTGGAGATGTCTTAGATCCTTGTAATGCTGAGAAGGGTTCAGTTTAACAATCTCAGTCATTGCATAATGTGGCTGTTATTGTGTACAAAGTCCTCTTGGTTCTGCTCACTTCACTCAGCATCAGACCATATAAGTCTTTCCAGGTTTTTCTGAAGTCAGCCTGTTCATCATTTCTTATAGCACAATAGTATTCCATTACATTCATATACCACAACTTGCTCAGCCATTCCCCAATTGATGGGCATCCTCTCAATTTCCAATTCTTTGCCACCACAAAAAGAGCTGCTATGAATATTTTTGTACATGTGGGTCCTTTTCCCATTTGTTTGATCTCTTTGGGATATAGCCCTAGAAGTGCTATTGCTGGATCAAAGGGTATGCACATTTTTGTAGCCCTTTGGGCATAGTTCCAAATTGTTCTCCAAAATGTTGGATCATTTCACAACTCCACCAACAATGTATTAGTGTTCCAATTTTCCCACATCTTCTCCAACATTTATTGTTTTCCTGTTTTGTCATGTTGGCCAATCTGATAGGTGTCATGTGGTACCTCAGAGTTGTTTTGATTTGCATTTCTCTAATCAATAACGATTTAGAGCATTTTTTCATATGACTATAGATGGCTTTAATTTCTTCATCTGAGAACTGTCTGTTCATATCCTTTGACCATTTATCAATTGGGGAATGGCTTGTGTTCTTATAAATTTGTCTTAATTCTCTATATATTTTAGAAATGAGGCCTTTATCAGAGAGACTGGTTGTAAAAATTCTTTCCCAATTTTCTACCTTCCTTCTAATCTTAGTTGCATTGGCTTTGTTTGTGCAAAAACTTTTCAATTTAATGTAATCAAAATTACCCATTTTGCTTTTCATAATGTTCTCTATCTCCTGTTTGGTCATGAATTCTTCTGTTCTCCATAGATCTGATAGGTAAACTATTCCTTGTTCTCCCAGTTTACTTATGGTATCAGCCTTTATATCTAAGTCATGAACCCATTTTGACTTTATTTTGGTATATGGTGTGAGATTTGGGTCTATGCCTAGTTTCTGTCATACTCTTTTCCAGTTTTCCCAGCCTCAAAACCATTTTTAAGAGTGTAAGAGGGTCCTGACACCAAAAAGTTTGACAACTATTAGTTGAGGGGAAAAATATAAAGCCAGAGTGAGACCT